CGTCCATTGCTCTAAAACTCTTTCCCTGGCTTCTCGAGGTTTCCTTGCGTCTCTCCATGCTTCCCCTGGTGGGAGGGACTAGTCGCAGGGAAACGAACGCAAGTGAGGGCGCAAGGAAATCCATTTACCGAAGTGATGGCAGGCTGAAGTCTCAACCATAAGGAGTCAAAATACTTCCCAGAATCTACCAGAAATCAAACATTATAATTCTGAATATACTTCCAGCACAAAACCAGATGCTCCCCTGATAAACAACTTAATGAAAACAAACCCATGGGCGAGGTAAGAGGGTCAGCAAGCTCGGCTTCGACTGTAATCTGATTGGTCGGTGAAATGAGCTGCAGGCGTTTCACCTGCGGCTCAAAGTGAAACATGTGCAGCCCTGCTGACCGAACACTGTGTGAGGAAAGGAATCAGTCAGGTAGAGGAAACCTGCTCTGGTTTTCACTTGGATGAAAGAATATACTGATTTTAAGAGCTCTGAAAACCTAGGGTCCTCCTAAATGGCAGTGGTTGAATACCGTAATCAGAACCCTTACTTAATAGAATACAGTCTTAATTCTTAACCTTAGATGCCGAGTGACTGACTGGACCGCTACACTCTTCCATAAGTGGGTCAAAAGTGACCGTATTAGGAAATAAATTATGTGTTTTTTATGCATGTTTGTCATTTTGTTTAAGAATCACTTGTATATATTTTAGTATTATAATGTTGGTTCACACTAGAAATATGTTTATATTAATTTTTCACTATTTATAATTTTAGACCATTTTTTTTTAACATTTGAAAAAAAAAAGTTTTGAAACATATTGAATGCAAAGAATCTCTCCGCTTTCGTGAGACCCTCACAGTATTCCAGTCCCTTTTCAAGACTCATCTCTCTCCTCTTGTCCTACTCATGGCCCACCCCCCATCATCCATGCCCGGTTGATCAAGTTTGAAATAGTCCTATACCCCCCGCCCTAAACCTTTCCCTTATATTGTAAAGCGATTTGAGTCCCTTGAAAAGCCCTATACAAATATAATGTATTATTATTATTATAATTTGACAGGTATCAGATCTTGCTGGTGGTCACTGTGTTGTGATGCAGTCTGTGTGGTCCACAGTGAATGTATTCCTGACAGCAACAGGTGATAAGAATCAAAGGTTCCCAGAGGATCCCATAGCAAATGCATGCGGGTCATTTTTGACCCACTTATGGAAGCTTGGGGTAGAAATACAAAAACTACAATTTCTTAAAATGTAAATTTAAAATGTGAATGGCATGATATCCAAAACATGTTTTTTGCTGAATATCTGGAATATGAAATGATAAAAAAATGTAATTACAAAGATACTTCAAGAAAACCACATCACCGGGTCCAAAAGACCCACTTATGCATCTAAGGGTTAACTACAAATCATTTATGTGTTTGAGTTTGTCAATGTGGAGCCAATTTTGGATGTTTAAAATACTAGGTTATTGGTGCAGTACTGCATCATAAAACACATTTATTTAAAATATAGCATTGTTTTTGTCTGGCTTTCATGTTTTTTAATCCTATGGTTTAATTTTTTATACTTATTTGATCATCTTTAGAGTTTATTTCATTGAATTTTGTAAATATGAAACACTGTAACATGTATTCTTTTTCTTTCCCTTCAGTTTATGTCCCCTAAAATTGTTGAAGTGCAATTTGATTTGCTTAAAAAGTGATAAAATGTGATTCACTGACTAAGCATCATGGCTTTGTATATGTATAAAGAAACTAATATGAGTGTTAAATTATTGTATTGCACAAAAAATAATGATATTTACCAAAACGAAATGTAAAAGACTAACATTAGTGACACAAATATAAAGTAAAATAAGTCGCATTAAATGGAAATACTCAAGTAAAATAAAGTATTATAAAACAAATATATATATATATTTAATAATACAAATAATTGAATAAATAATAATGATAATAATGTGTAGTTTCAATAATAAAAATAATAAAAACAAGAATACAATGATTACATAATAACAATGGGAAATAATAATAATAATAATAATAATAGTAATAATAGTAATAATAATATTAATGGATAGCTCAAATAAATGATTCCGTTTGTAAGCCAGATATGCACTTGAATGCATCACTGAGGCAAACATATCCCTTTGAGTTGGACAGACCAACAATCTGTCTAGTCATTTTCAGACCCCTAACCTGCAGATATGAGACTCTTGGTGCGCGCATGTGTGTGACACCTCCTGTCCACGTGGAGGCGCCGCACACCCGCATTCCCGCGTGCCACTTGCTCGCTTGACAGTGCAAAAAAAACAAAACACAGAAAGTCTCAGAGCCGTTACAGAAAAAAGAGGGGGTGAAGGGGGGGGCTCTCTCTTTTTTTGAACGCTGTGGCTGCAGATCAGATGCTCGGTGTGCGGGCTGGGAGGAGCAGCGCGTGGAGCCGAGCGCGCGACTTCTCTGCAAACACCAACAAAAACACCAAAACCAACATTACTGCTGCTGCTGGAGTTTCTCTAGGATTTTCTTCTGGTGACAAATGGACTTTATTACCAACATGTATTCAGCAGCTCTGCTACTGATGCTGGCCGTCAGGATCTGCGCAGACAGCATGGAGGGACCAACAGGTAAGAGATGTTTGGACACCTGCGTAAAGTTGGCTCTCATGGTTTAAAACTCGCTCTTCCTACACAGTCAGGATTCTTTTTTTCCCCCTACAACTTCTGAAGTTGTCCCAGAGTGCAGTGTGTGATGAGGCTTTTTAAATCAGACCTTGGTTGCTGCAGCTTTCATCGGTTTGAACTTTCTCCTTTGTAGTAATCCGGCGGATTGAATGACATTATGCGACTGCCAGCAACCTGCAAGAGTCTAAATCACAGCATCATTTCCTTACAGAATCAATGGTATCGGTGATTACTATGCATTCCCTCTCAAGCTTAAACATTAAAAAAGTGGATTCATTATTTGCTAAATCTGGCATAAATCATCTCTTCAATGTGTTTTTATGCATGGTCATTGTTGGGTAAAGACTCATTATAAACCTCCACTTTCTCTACATGTCTTTCCATCTGTGTCCAGTTTAATTTACTGTCATGTTTCCATTATTCAAGCTTCAGTCGGTGGTGACAACATACTCTCCTCCCGACGCCTGGGAATGTAAATCACATCCCAGTGATTAAGTCTCCCCTCATTGGGTTTCATTTATTGCTGATGTGCGTAAATGAAATGGGCTGCTAAGTTGCCTGCATGTTAATGGTATTGATGGAACAAGCGTAATTATGTTGCTGATGCAGGAGATGATTTGCTTGACTGGTTCAATTTGTAAAAAAAAGAGAAAAGACAAATCAAGTGTGTTTATAATTTAGCTGAAAAGGCACTACAGTGGAGAGGAATAAGTCCAATAC